GTCCACTGGAGTAAGTGGTCGACCTCCATAGATTACGTTGGTTGAGGCTTGTGTTACGCATGTCACCAAAGAGGTTGCCACGGCGAGCGATGTTGGTCGAGGCAGGTAGTGCGTGGAACGAAGCCCAGGGTGGTCAAGCTAAGTCCTGACAAGAAGGCATGCAAACACTAATCAGGAGATTCGGTCATAGGTCCTCTTAGGCTCTCTGGATGAGAACCTAGGAATGATCGCAACCAGTGGTTGGAGACGCTGAATGATATGATTGAGTGTCGCAAACAGCGGCGCTCCCGCATCTACCCAATATTATTGCAACCGCAGTCGACATAAATTATCTATCTTCCCTTGGACTCAGCTCTCAACATTACAATCTTCATTTTGCTCTTTTATCCAAATGGGCGACCAATGACAGTAACCAAAACCGGCGCACGAAAGTGCATGGTTAATGGTTGTAAAAACTGAAACCCTGGAAAACCTTGTAGAATAATGAATCTCAATATGAGGCAATGGCCGCTTCACGTTACATGTTTTCCCTGAGCTTAAGAGTCGAATACCATAATCTAAAAGCTGTGCGTCAACAGTTAACTATGACGTCAATCTCGTAAGCTGTGTTTGGATCTAAAATCATGGTGCGATAAGAAGCTCTCAAAATAATGGAACAAGTATCGATGACCTCCCGAGGGAAACAAAACAGTGCAGAGCAAGGAAAATGGCCACCTAAACGAAAACAGTTGCTTCAATAAAAAAGATAAATGCAATATTTAGCTGATCAGAGAATGCATGTTGAGAGCGGCGAACAAGCTCATTTCCAGTGATTCGCAGTCATGCCAATTAATCATCACGTTTATGTGTGTTTGTGACTCCAGGAAAATTTCGTCGTCATTCATTTACTAATTATCTCATTCCGTATCCGGTAGGTATTACATGAACAAAGACTCAATACACTGAAGCAAACACATGCGCTCAGATAAAAGATTTCAGGTNAGACGGATCGTGAAAAAGTAAACAGTAACGGGGACACAACTACTCAACCAGTAAGAGGCAGACTCACCGTCATCAGTTGGGCAAGTGCACGTATCAGATCTGTGTTCAAATCGCCAGATGCCTCGGCTGCGTAATGGCGTTCTGCGAACGTTTCTAAGGCCCATGCAGCACACTGGAAATGTGTACAGGCCACTTTCATGCTCTAAGGAGAATGAATGAAGATAATCGGTCGAAATACCCGTAACAAATGAATCAATGACAGCACAGAGCAAAACCTGTGTAGCAAAAGGAAACCTAATGATGTATAAAGGCGTAAGTAGAAATATCAAACTACTTTCGGTTAAAGAGTCAAATAAGCTTTTTTTTATTGAAAATACAAAAGTAAATCTTAGGCCTAATAAACACCATCCCCAGTATTGAACCTGATGACAACACCAGGCTATGGTTTGTCTAGAAAGTAGTGCAACCAGTGAAAAAAAATATTTTCTTCTCCTGATACATAGTTCAAGCAGAAGCGGTGAAAGAATAAAGGGTGATTGGGCAGAAGACCATTTAGAACTCAGGAAGAAACAGTCTTTAGGAAAAAATATTACAATATATGAAGAGGAATAGAATAACAAATAAGGTAATGACCAGACTCAAGGCTGATCCAATTCTGGTGTACACATTGAGTACATTTTCCTGTGGATGACGGAGGTAATCTTCACATCTCATCTCAGATTAAGGAAGGAAGCTATGCAAATATCAATAAAAACAACGTCAGACCCTCACACAGGCTCAAGACACACAAACGATGGATCTCATCGACCTCGGCCGCCCTGCTGGACACCCTCCTGATGTCACATATGACACAGCCCGAAAATCCCTCTAATGCCCGCTGATCAAGAGTCTGAGAAATGACCGCGAGAAGTGTTGGATAGGAAAATGTAAAGAGATGGAGAACACTGTGGCTATTGATAATAGTCGCAATCTTTTCCATCTAATTAGGAATACATGTCCTAAGAAACTAGGCTTGAGGTAATTAAGGAATCCGATGGCACACTGATTCACGATCAGCAACGCCGTCTTGATCGGTGGGCCGAACATTTCGAGGCTCAGTTCAACTGGTCCCCATCGGCATTTGAATTATCACCCTCCACCGCGACTGCGCAAATTCTGCCAGTCGATGCCAGTCCTCCATCCGAAATGGAGGTTTCCCGAGAAATAAGTTATCTCAAAAGGCAATTTTCTCTTCGGTCCTACTTTCAAACCTTCATGTTTTTTCCGAATGTTCGTCTAAATGGGCAGCCGAAATACAGTAACGAAAACCGGCGCACGATAGTGCATGGTTAATGGTTGTACAAACTGAAACTGTAAATTCAGTTGAACTATCAGATAATTGACTCCGAGGAAAAGCAAATTTGGGCCGTGGCAGAGTATGTCGTGGTTTTGATTATTTGGCACCACAAAGGAGCACCGTTTTTCGCGTCTACTTCTTCCTCACTCGCAATTCTGTTATTCAGACTCACAGTTTAGCGATCGGATTATTAATAGAATGATGGAAAGTTTG